ACCTTCTCCGATGGCGCCTTCAGACGTTACCGGTGTGGGAGTTCTCCGGTGAGCTTCCGGTGTCCGAGAGAGGCAGCAACGTCCAGGCTCTGATACCACTGTTGGAAAACCGGACCGGCTCAGACCTCAATCACCACCAAGCCCAAAGGCTTGCTCACACTCACCACCAGGGATACAACCGGGGAAGACAGAAGGGCGACAACCAACAAGCCCTCACACAAAGAACCCAGACCCCAGCCCAGAGAATCCACCGGAGCTACAGATAACCCACCACACTACCAGACCAGAGTGAAGCCCACAGAAGGATCCCAAAGGTCTCACCGGAGCATAGCCGGAGCTAAAGCTCAGAGGAAACCGACACTCTCTCACTCTAGGTCTAGGGTAACCGAACTGAAGCCACATTTTAGAGAGAAGGCGGATAGGCAGAAATAGGAGGATTCCAGAAGAACCAGCCAAATATAAGGGAGGGCCACAAGGGATGGGCTGAGTTATAAGACAAAACGGGGGGATGGGCTTGGTCGGGTAGACAACCCATTTAGGCCAGGACAATTAATAGGAGACCAACTCCATAAATGAGGTGGACCAAAAGGCAGCTCAGGGATGGCCCATAGATGAGGTGGACCAATACCACAACAAGAAGGAGGAAGACCCAGCAACTTCTCCGGCGACGATCTGATGTCCGGTGATGATGGGTACAAGATTTGCTGGAGCTGCTCCCGTCTAGACTTGCGATTACTTCTGTCCAGGGGTATTTTTGTCTTCCCGTTCAAATTAAGTCCTACTTCTATTTCCATTCTCGGTTATTGATTTGGTCCTATTTGAGTCTTATTCCGCATTATTATCAGGAGTGATTTATTACTCGCAAGTCAAAGAAGACGAAGTCAATCAGTCCTCTGGTGAAAACTCCATTTTCTACGCAGCGAAGAACCGAGATGGGGCTTATGAATCTCAGAATGATGCTTTTATGCAATTTATTACTGTTATCAAAATGGTTGGTTTTCACAGAGGCGGCGGTGGCAGAGAGCCGTGAAACAAGCTGCGGGAAGAATAGCCCCGCCGTGAAATTCCCATTCCGAATCGGAGGTCGGCAACCTGCCGCCTGTGGCTACCTCCACCCTGCCTTTGATCTGTCCTGCAGCAGCTCCGGGGAAACGCTGCTGCAGCTGCCAGACTCCGTCACTCTCCGCGTCGAACAAATCAATTATGCTCTTCAGTACATTGTTGTCGGCTTTTCGGCCGGCTGCCTCCCGAGGATGCTTCAGAACTTCAGTTTGTCCTCTTCTCCGTTCCAACTATCCGGCGACGACCGGCGTGGCACTTGCACCGTACTCCGCTGCACACCGGCGCCGCGAACAGAAACGTTCGCATCTCGGATTTCTTGCCCGAACGATCCGGAAGGCTATCAATTTTTTGTGACGTACCCTGATGTGTGACATCGCAGCAGTTCCACGTGATGTTGAATTCCGGAATGGCACCTTTCGATTGAATTGGTCCGACCCGGAATGTGGAATCTGCGAATGGGAACGCAAATACTGCAGACTCACCCACACCAAGAAGATGATGGATGCATCACGGAAGCAACACAGAATGTCATTGATGGGATATAATATAGTGAGAATATTAATGATAATTGTGATGTTATTTGTATTATTTTTTATTTTTGATGATTATATTATCATTTTAGAGTGCTAATTATTTCCTAAAATAGAAATAAGAACCTTTAGCTGAGACGGCAAACAGATTACTGATATGGCAAAATTAAGTGCTGACCGGGACATGGACAACTTCACGCTCCTCATCTTTCACCTTCAGAACCACCACCTTCAGCGCCCCATTTTTCATCGACAACGCCGTCAAAAGGGCCAGATTCCTCCTTATTGGCTCCGCCGCCATTGACCACCAGTGTTCTTCTCCACTGTCACTTGTACGTCCTCCTTCCCCAGCCCCGGCATTTCGAACCGGAAATGAAGTCCGTCGAGCTTCTTTGTAGCGACGTAGTTGGGCGCGCCAGATTCAGCACTTTTTACGGAAGATAGCGCCATCTCTTCCATCGCCTGGCCCAAGCTTCTCCCACGCGGTGAGATGGGAGCAGAAAACACATCTGCAGGAGCTGAGCAAAACATGTAAAAACAGAGATTATGAACAGAAATTAGGGCAGAATAAAACTAGAGAACGAAACGAAGCAGTGCGCGCGGGATGAGATCGATGAATACCGGAGAATGGGGAGATCACACAGCGAATGTAAGGAATGCGGCCGCTGTAGCGGGGATCAACGTCGGAAGCTAGGAGATCATCTTCGTCATCGAAGTCGGCAACATCGTTGGCGGCCTTAGGGCCGAAGACGCAAGTAGTGGCAGTGAAAGGGCGAGCCGAGTGGAGAGCTCTATTGAAGAGTTTCCTGGAGGAAGATGAAGATGTGAAGGGCTTTTTGAGTACTGCTGAGGAAACCACCGTAAGGACGATGCTGACTGGGACGCCATCCTTTAACACACAAACGGCTAATACTTGCCACCTAGGCGCTTTAAACGACCTAATAGCGGGGTGGACTAAATTAGCTCTGATTTGGCGATTTAATGTACTTCTTAATCCCAATTGCACAATGGTGTACTCTTTACTCTCCCACTCACAAGTTGATGTACCAAACTGACACTTTTCTCATTAATGAAGTTGGGACATTGGTGAAAATTCACCACGCCAATATAGTCCGCTTGATCGGTTTCTGTGCAGATGGGTTTAAATGGCCCGATTACTTGTCAAATGATTCACTCCAGAAGTTCATTTCTTCACCAGATTCGAAGAATCATTTTCTTGGTTGGAAATATTTGGAGCATATTGCTATTGGCACAGCCAAAGGGATAGAGTATCTCCATCAGGGTTGTGATGAAAGAATCGTGCATTTCATCAATCCACACAATGTACTTCTTGATGACAATCTCAATCCCAAAATGACCGACTTCAGCCTCGCTAAGCTATCTTCAAGGGAACAAAGTCTCGTGTCTATGACAACAGCTAAAGGGACCATAGGCTACATGGCACCCCAAGTGTTTTCGAGAAACTTTGGGAACGTTTCTTATAAATCAGATATTTATAGTTTCAGAATGTTGTTACTAGAGATGGTGAGTGGAAGGAAATGTGTTGACACTGAATCACATGCAGAGGATCAAATATATTTCCCCGAGTTGATTTATAATGTGTTAGAGCAAGGAGAAGACCTAAGGTTTGATATTGAAGAAGAGAATGATGTTAAAATTGCAAAGAAGTTAGTCATTGTGGGGTTGTGATGTAGTCAATGGAATCGTGTCGATGGAAGGCCCTTCAAATGTTAGAAGGGGAAGGAGATGATTTGAGCACACCTCCGAATCCATTTATCACTAAATCACACTAGTATTTCACCCGTGCGATGCACAGATGAATATCTTATCCAAATGCTAAACATAAAAAAATAAATATGGATAATTATAATTAGTACAGTTAGCATAAGCTTGAATTAGTTTTTGAAAAATTTGAATACAGAGATCGAGAACAGTGTATTTTGGAAAACATCTTTAAAAATTTATACAAATGGCTATATGTATACATAATTATGTTTATTTAACATTTCAAATATCCATTAAAGAAGCTACATTGGGTAATCTTGTAACTCATTCAACTTGTCTAGATTTATGAGTATCACAATTGTATGCTTTAAATATTAAAGTAGAACTAAAAGAAGTCTATGTAAATAATACGTAGTACTCTGTATAATTATGACCGGTTAAAAATAATGTGTAGTACAAATGTTCTTTTAATCAAAACTACAATTTAAGTTAAGAGACTTAATATGTGGGTTTCTCAATTAAATCACTTCATCTCCCCTCAGACAATTTCTTCTTCTCACGCCACACTATTATCAATTTAATACCTTCATTGAATCAATCTATTAGGAAGAAATATGGTTTTAACACATGCGATAATTATTGTGAGTTTTTCATATTTTATTGATTTTTTAGTTTATGATTTTTTTCTGGTGAGGAGGTGTTTTTGAGGACTTCTGCGATGACATCAGTTCATTTTCCAGGCATCTCCATTTCTTCTTATCTTTCTATTCAGGGCATTTTAATGTTAATTTTGAAATTTCATTCCTTAAAATAATCTAGTTGTATCTTGTTCCAACAGTTTTATTAAATAGATTTTGAGAGTTTCACAATATTTTGTTGCAATGGTTAATTTCAAAGTTATTGTGATGCTTTCTTAGGTGGAATCATTATATGTTTTGCTTCCCAAATCTCTCCTCGGTAAGCAGTATCTATATTAGTTTTATTTATTTTATTTTTAGATCATGATTTCCTATGAAAATTTGTCGTCAAAAAGCAAAAAAAAACTAAAAGATTTTATTTTAAATAAGATGCTCTCTTAAAGAAGCTACTCCTCTTTGAATTACTAAACAAATTGCGTTCACATGCGATAAATTACTAAAATGATACTCCTATTTTATAATTTCAGAACTTTTTTACTCCTATTTAAGAAATTCTATCGAATTAAAAACTAGTGCGAGTACTAAAACGTATGATGCTTGGCGGTGGAGCAAAAGCTAGGTAACCTATATTCAGATCTGGATCTATAAAATTTCAAAGTATTAATGCGGACGAGTGATTCATATGTGACGAAGCGGCTCTCATAATAAACATGTTTTTACTTATAATTTGCTGGTCTGGTCTGGTCTATTTAAGTCTGATCTGATATGGTCTAAATTGATCTGGTTTGGTAATGTATGATCTCTTTGCATTTTATAACTACGAAAGTCTGATCTGATCAACATAAGTCTGGTCTGCATAAGTCTGGTCTGATATGTTTAAGTCTGGTCTGATTTAGTCTGTTTATGTCTAGTCTAGTCTAGTCTAATCTAAATTAAAAATAATCCAAATAAAAATAAGCTGAACCGGTATAAACTATAAAGAAGAGAACCGGTATGAAAAGAGGAAAGCATCCCAAATTTGACTATTTGCGTTGCATACCAAAATTGACTATTAATGTATTTTGTTTAATTCTCTAAAATTATTAAATTTAAAATAGGAGCAAACCCGCAGTCTTGCAAAGTCATGGCAGTGTTCAGAGACACAGACGGTGTCTAAAAGAGAGAGTCCATTTTCATCTCCAATTCGATGGTGCCATCATCTTCTTCTTCTTCCTCCCTTCACGCTCACAGCACCAGCATGCTTTTTATGTTTGCTGCTGTGTTCCTGAATCTCTTCCACCGGAGCGAAGGAAAAAGCTGCGCCCCTTCTTCGTGCGGCGATATCCGCGACATCAGTTACCCTTTCCGGCTCAGTACCGACCCTAAACACTGCGGAGAGGAGAGACATACCCTGTTCTGTGAAAACAATAATGCTACAGTGCTCCATCTCTACTCCGGAAAGTACAATGTCCGCTCAATCAACTACACCGTCTTCACAATCAGTGTGTCAGATGTCGGTGTTCGTGAAGACGATTGCTCCTCCTTCCCAATTTCTCCTCTCAGCGGTCGTTATGAATACCTGACAGACACTATGGTCTTAGTGAGCTGCCCGAGTCCATTGAATTCCTCATCTTTCATTGCCACTTCCCCTTGCTTTAGCAGCGGAAATTATTCGTACCTAGCTCCTGCCAGAAAAACGCGTATAGGGGATTTGAAGGTTGGTTGCAGCATAGAGAAGTCAGTTTTGGTACCTGCAGGACGAAATTATTCATCGTATGAAGAGATTCATCGAGATCTTTTTTCTGGCTTTGATCTCTACTGGCATCGTGCAGGAAAGTACAATGGATGTTCAATTTCAAGAGATACACTACTCAAATTATATTTTTTTATGTTTTTCTTATATCTACCTTGTGTTACCTTTTTGTCATAACAGCTGCCCCTTCACATTATGTATATATGTGTGAAATTTACCACTTCTTGAGGATTCATCACGGTTCATGCAGGCAAGTTGGTGAGTATGCTAGGAGGTTTCCTTTGAGACTCAAATTTTATAGCATTCATCACAGGATCATTCAAATTAATCAGCCAAAACATTTGATCTAGCTTCATCATTGCTATTTAATTGCTGACAATGATTATGCTCTTAAGCATATATGCCTAATCTTATTTCAGTTTCTCATAGTTCTGCTCCTAAACTTTTTTTTCTCCCTCGCTGACCCGATGAAGATGCTAGAAACATTCGTGACGTTGTCGTCCAGATATTGCATACTTTAAAGGGTAAGCCTTTGATATTCTCTGGTTAAGTCAAGTATAGAACATTTACCTTTCTCATACCAAAGTATGTAAAATCTTATCAACTGGTTTCAACATTGTCTGCAGGGTCCAGTTTGGATATAATCTATCTGATTGGTAAGCACTAACTTTCTGTACCCTTAAATTTCAAGTCTACCTTCTAAACTACACAAACAAGTAAACTAAATTGTAAATTATGTATCTTCTTATAGTTAGTAGTATAATAGTACGTTCTGGTGATTGATTTCATACATAGGTCTCCTTCAAGCAACAAAGGCATCAATAGGCGCTCCATTTATGATTGCATTGCTGATCTACGCATGGCGAAGGAGACATTTATCAGCTTACGACAAAGTAGAAGACTTCCTGAAGAACCATAACAACCTCATGCCTATAAGGTATTCTTACGCGGAGATTAAGAAGATGACAGGGGGGTTTAAGGAGACGTTAGGAAAAGGAGGCTTCGGTGCAGTATTTAAAGGAAAGCTCCGTAGTGGTCATTTTGCTGCTGTAAAAATGTTAGTGAACTCGAAATGTAACGGAGAAGATTTCATTAGCGAAGTTGCAACCATTGAAAGAATTCATCATGTTAATGTGGTGCAACTGATTGGTTTTTGTGTGGAGGGGTGTAAGCGCGCTCTTGTGTATGAATTCATGCCAAATGGCTCTCTTGATAAATATTTGTTGTCTCAAGAAGGATTGACCTCAACAATGACTTGGGAGGAAATGTTTCGGATCTCTGTGGGGATTGCTCGTGGCATTCAGTATCTACATCAAGGCTGTGATATGCAAATACTTCATTTTGATATCAAGCCCCATAACATTCTCCTTGATGAAAATTTCACCCCAAAAGTATCAGATTTTGGGCTCGCAAGGTTGTACTCAAAGGCAAACAACACCATTGCAACTTTGACTGCAGCTAGGGGGACGATTGGATACATGGCACCAGAACTGTTCTATAAGAATATTGGACGTGTCTCGTACAAAGCAGACGTTTATAGCTTCGGGATGCTATTATTAGATATGGCTGGAAAGCGGAATAAATTGAATTTATCAACAAACGATTCAAGCCAGTACTTCCCAGAATGGGTTTACAACCAAGTTTCTGATGGAAGAAATGGAGAGATTGGAGGCACTACAGAGGAGGAAAATAAAATAGCTAAAAAGATTGTTATGGTGGGGTTGTGGTGTATTGAGATGAATCCTTGTAACCGACCATCCATGAACAAAGTTGTTGACATGCTCAATGGTGACGTGGACGGTCTGCAGTTGCCTCCTAGAGATTTTTCAGAACCTATAGAAGCATGTGGCAACGATGAAACAGATACGTCTTTCGACTATTCCATAGATTCGACCAGTTTGATCTCGAATTTTAAGTTGGTTAGTGGTAGTACATGAACTACCGTATAGTACTTCGGAAACAATTGGTTTTATTGCAATGTGATGCATGTTATGAAATACTCAGTGATATAATGTTATGCATGCACTAATATAACTCTACTATTCTGTTAGAGTTCTTTCGGTGCTGTGGCGGATCTAGCATTTCGTTTTGGATATCCAAAAGTTTACAGTTAAAGTTTTAAACAAAAGCATTGTTGTGTGCAATAACACTACAAATTTGTCTTCGTCAAACAAATAATAGGTCATAGAAAAATCACCAAATTTATCAAAATGATGATGGAGAAGAAGTATTTTGCTCAACTGCATTTTGGTAATGCAATATTTTCTTTTTTGGGTATTCAATTGAAGAGCTTTGAACAACATGGGATCCACCTTTAGTTTGGTGGATTTGATGAATGTGACGGGACACACATATTACTTTTAATTCCAAGAGTTGAGTTGTGTAATAATCAAAATATGGGGTGTTTGAAATTGATTTTGCTTATTCTTCTTTTGTAAAAGTAGAAGTAAAATCAGAATCAGCTTTTCAGAAGCCGATGTCCCCCAACTTTTAAAAACTACTTCTAAGAGCATTTTGAAGCACTTAAAATTACTTAGGCACTTTCACCAAAACACTCCAATATTTGCTTTTGTTCTTGGAAAGAGTAGAAGCAGTTTTAAGAATTAAATCCAAACACCCCCTAATTAAGTTTGAAGTTACTTTTCTGTTGAATTGATTGAAATTACTATAGAGAACCATTTTAACTTTTTGATACAGTTTTATCTTTATTATATGAATAAATAGTGTATTTTAAACATTCTTTTTCTTATAACGTTGGGATCTATTCCTCGCGTCTTGCGTAGGGTTTGTAAGTCCGCTGCATTTAGTAATGCAACTGGTTTCTTCTATCTTCGTCAGCAATTTTTTGAGGGCAGTTTTGGATAGGAAGAAGGGTAGCATAAGGATTGATGACAAGTATGATAAAAACATCGATGATTTGGAGAGAGAATACTAAAAGTTGGTGATGGAGGAGGAAAACGATGACCTCACTTTTGACGTAGGCGGAACAACGACGTGCAAATAGGGAGGTGGGACTGGTTTGTCCATAGTAGGATCTTTCATCTTTGAAAAATGAAAAAAAAATCAATCTTGAGGGACTTGATGGTCTCCATCTGGCACCCAGGTAAATTGACTTATGAAATATATTACATTATCATACAATGACATTGATTTTTAAACAATGACATCGTATTACATTGTGATATAATGACATTGATTTTTAAACAACGATATCGTATTATATTGTTGATGAAGTATTAACTCCTAGAGAGAAGGGAGAGCTAGAGAGAAGTGAGTTGTATTAATTATTTTCGAACCCTTTACATGGCTCCCAAGTCTTGGGCTTGGGAGGTCCATTACAATATACAGCCTCTATTGGGCTGATTACATTAGAAGTCTAGTCCTGTGAGTTCCTTCTGGCCGACGGAGGCGCTCGGCCGATGGAGGCATGGACGACGGAGACGCTCGGCCGGCGGAGGCATGGACGACGGAGGCGCTCGGCCGACGGAGACGCTCAGCCGACGGAGGCATGGCCGATGGAGACGCTCGGCCGACGGAGGCATGGCCGATGGAGACGCTCGGCCGACGGAGGCATGGACGACAGAGGCGCTCGGCCGACGGGGGCACTGGACGACGGAGGACAAGTCTTCTCCTTGGCTTCTGGAGCGTATTCCGGGTTGACTCTTTTTCGGCCAACAGAGGGCCCACTGGATGACAGCTGTGTTCCTCTTAGTCTTCTGAGTATGTGAATCATGGAGTCTGGACCCATATACTCCATCAATTGTCATATTATGACAATGATTTTTAAACAATGACATTGATTTTCTAACGATGACTTTAAATTTTAAAGGATGACATGATATTACATTGTATACAATGAAAAATATTGGTCCGATCCTCACTATCAACTTTCGACGATGTAATTCAATGTTTTTGTCCAAAATAATGCAACAAAATCCAGCAAAATAAAAACTTTGTTATTAACATTAAATTACTAATAATGAGACAATTTTTATTATTTTCGTATTGAAAAAAAAAATCCAAAATAAATAATGATATGCTTTCCAAATATTAATTTATTTGGATGAACTGCACAATCAAACATTAAATAAAAAAGCTACAATGTCAAATAAGAAATTGGAAAGTAAACCGAGAATGACAAGACACTCATTCGTTTCAGGAACAGGAAAAAGGATCGGGTCTTTCAGCTAAAGATCAATATATAAAGCAGAGTCCAAGGTACATGTGTATAAATAATGATATGCTTTCCAAATATTAACTTATACCTGCACGGGTAGCTTAATTCGTTGAGTGGTGGGAGATTTAGATCAATGGACCAAATTTCGAATCCCCGCAGTGACTGGTGGATGTCACAGAACCTGAAATAAGGCTGAGTTTCTGGTGCGCACAGGTGTATGTGCCTACTGTCATTCTATTGACTGAGTCACCGTGACTAACCTCCCCACCATCCTGTCGGGTCGGGGTGGGGCTCCCGGCAGGAGATTCCACCTTTTGGGATCAATTAACTTATTCCTCATCCAAATATTAATTTATTTGGATGAACTGCACAATCAAACATTAAATAAAAAAGCTAAAATATTAGATAAGAAATACGGAGTAAGAAATTGGAAAGTAAACCAACAAGAACGTAGATAGCAATATAGCATGAGTGCAGGACCGCGAAGAAGACACAAGACCAAGGAAGCAGTAAAGACTCAAACTGGACATTGAAGAAAAATAAAGAGGAGAAGAAGGAAGGAGGAGATGGAGGAGAAGGAATTGAAGACCAAGGAAGTAGAAGGAAGATACAAGAAGAAAAGGGAATAAGAAGTGTTGGAAAACCGGACCGGCTCAGACCTCAATCACCACCAAGCTCAAAGGCTTGCTCACACTCACCACCAGGGATACAACCGGGGAAGACAGAAGGGCGACAGCCAACAAGCCCTCACACAAAGAACCCAGACCCCAGCCCAGAGAACCCACCGGAGCTACAGATAACCCACCACACTACCAGACCAGAGTGAAGCCCACAGAAGGATCCCAAAGGTCTCACCGGAGCAAAGCCGGAGCTAAAGCTCAGAGGAAACCGACACTCTCTCACTCTAGGTCTAGGGTAACCGAACTGAAGCCACATTTTAGAGAGAAGGCGGAGAGGCAGAATTAGGAGGATTCCAGAAGAACCAGCCAAATATAAGGGAGGGCCACAAGGGATGGGCTGAGTTATAAGACAAAACGGGGGGATGGGCTTGGTCGGGTAGACAGCCCATTTGGGCCAGGACAATTAATAGGAGACCAACTCCATAAATGAGGTGGACCAAAAGGCAGCTCAGGGATGGCCCATAGATGAGGTGGACCAATACCACAAGAATCTCCACCTTATTGGTCCCCTGGTGGTGTAGAGCACAACGTGAAAGGGAGAATCATCATCGCCGGTTTTTCTTGTTTTACAGTTCTTATCTAGCCACAATCTAAATTAAGAATACGCTTACAAGACAACAGTTTTTCAAAAGTGAGACATTTAGTCCCCATATCTGCAGGGTTAAATTCTGAGGGTATTTTGGACAGCTTTATCCAACCTGCATCCACAATATTCCTAATAAAATGAAACCTGACATCAATGTGCTTGGTCCTGTCATGGAATACAGGATTCTTGCACAATTGGATAGCAGACTGACTATCAGAGTACACTGTCACAACCTGCTTAAGAAAACCAATTTCAGTTAGCATTCGTTTAAGCCAAATAGCCTCTTTAAAGGCCTCAGTGGCTGCCACGTATTCAGATTCAGTAGTGGACAATGCAACAATAGGTTGAAGTTGAGATTTCCAACTTATGCAGGAACCACAAAGAGTAAAAATGTAGGAAGTAGTAGACTTTCTATTGTCCCTATCATTTGCATAATTGGAGTCAACATAGCCAGTAAGTAAAATGCCAGTTTCAGTTTTAGAAAAAAACAAGACCATGAGAAGGTGTACCCCTTAGGTATCTAAGGAGCCATTTAAGGGCAGTCCAGTGAGACGTACCAGGGTTTGCCATATATCTACTTAAGCAACTAACAGCATAAGCTATATCAGGCCTTGTGCTTACCATGAGATACATGACTGACCCTATAGCACTGGAATAGGGTACAGACTTCATCCTATCTATCTCCGGAGCAGTCCTTGGGGACTGATCCTTGCTTAGCACAAAATGGGGTGCTAAGGGAACATTCACAGGTTGGGCAGAGTCAATATTGAACTTTTTCAAGACCTTTTCAAGATAGGAGGTTTGGTTCAGGGTAAGGGTACACCTACTCCTATCCCTAAGAATATTAATCCCTAGGATTCTCTTAGCATCTCCAAGATCTTTCATAGCAAAGTTTTCACAAAGGCACTTTTGAACTATCTTAATAGCATTCACAGAAGGGCTAATGATAAGCATGTCATCAACACAGATTAACAAGAAAACAGGTACAACAGCAGTATTCTTAAAATACAAACAAGGGTCAGAATCAGACCTTTTGAAACTCAGGGAAGACATACACCGGTCAAACTTGATATTCCATTGTCTGGGAGACTGTTTCAGGCCATAGAGGGCCTTCCTAAGTAGACAGACATGTCTGGGGTACTTAGGGTCAATAAAACCCTCAGGTTGGCTCATGAAAATCTGTTTATCTAGTTCACCATGCAGGAAAACAGTGGTAACATCCATCTGCTTCATCTCCCAGTCATTATGGGCAACTAGGGCAAGCATCATCCTAATTGTTGTGAATTTTACTACTGGAGCAAAAATTTCAGCATAGTCTACCCCTTCCTTTTGAGTGAAACCTTTTGCCACTAACCTAGCTTTAAACCTAATGTCATTTGGTTCTTCTTTAACTTTGAAAAGCCATTTGCACTCAACAACAGAACAATTAGGAGTCCTAGGAACTAGGGTCCAGGTTTTATTCAACTTAAGAGATTCTATCTCACTTTGCATAGCACATAGCCAATTTTTAGATTCTCTAGAGGCAAGGGCTTCCTAGTAGGTTTTAGGCTCATTCAACTCAAGAGTTTCAAAAACAGAGAAAGCAAATAATGAAGTATCATACAGGTGAAAAGCATAGTCAGTCATACTATCAGAAATCCTCTTAATGTTTCTTCTAGTCCTA